AAGTTCTCCTGGGTAGAAATGAAAGTTCATATTTCATACAGTTGAAGGTGTGGTAAAATCTCCTGTTTGGAACAGTTCGTTTTAGTTGCAGATTAGGTGCAGAGAAAAGTTGGAATAGTCTGTTTACCTCAAAGTTGTTTGGTGGTAAGCAGGATGTATTCATATTTCCTTCTGGTTATAGTATTTCATATTTCACAGTCACATAAAAAGATGGAATGCTCTTCTGGGCAGACATTTCTTACGTGGTAAAGTATCTCAGATTATTCCAACTTTTCTCTGAGCCTAATCTGCAAATAAAATGAACTGTTCCAAACAGGAGATTTTACCACACCTTCAACGGTATGAAATATGAACTTTCATTTCTACCCAGGAGAACTTTTACAGTCTTTTCTCCTATGCCTGAAGAAGGGTGCTTGTGCCCAAAAGCTTGCAATTAAAGATTTTTTTTTGCAAAAGTCTAGTTGGTCTAATAAAAGATAATCACCTCTACCATGAATTCTGATTCCTATAAATAAATCTTCATCTGACTGATTTCAGAGGAACCCTCTTTGGATTCCACGTATCTGATAAAACAAAATATTTGAACCAGATCAAGGATTGGCCACATTTTTCAGTGTGGGGCTGGAATGACACAGCTTGCATCAGACAGGTGTGGGTATTAGGACCATTGGCACTTCTACCCTCTGCTCACTTGCAGCGTAGGTGGCAAAAGCCCCCCTCTGCTAGAGCCCATGACAGCAGACAGAGCTCCTACTCCACCAGAGTCCCAGGCAGCTGACTATGACTCAGCACAGGAACAGCTCTCCCTTCACCAAAGCCCAAGGCAGCTGATTGTGGCCCAGCAAAAGGAGAGGCCCCTGCTGCCAAATGGCACCAAAGCCACAGCTCCATATGCCAGATCCAAAGTTCCATGGGCAAGATATGGGTCATGGGCTGTCAGTTGCCAACCCCTAAATTACAGCACAGCTCCTCTTGTGTAAGTATGCATGTGTACACAGACACACACACCCCCACCCCCTCCTCTTCCTTGAAGTACAAAATTGGCCCTTAGATGCAAGCAAAGTGCTTGTATGGATTCCAGGATAAGCACCTTTATATGCTTAAGAGTAGAATTTGACCCAAATAAAAAGTCTAAACAGCCATACCAATGACTATCATCAAATCACATGCTTGCCCAAAAATGCAGCCCTGTAAAGATACAAAGGTAGTTCAACAAATAATACTGGAACTTTGTCACGGCAGGGTCCGTCAGGAGGGCCGTGATCTCCTCGAGGTCCCTCGCTCCGTGTCAAGGCCGGCCCAAGACACCCTCTTATTCTCGCCC